TGAAACAAGGTATATGATTTATTGAATGTACAACTGATGATATGCCCTGTAAACTTTCACTCAATCCACAATAAAAACCTTAAAAAAAAAATTATAGAGCAACCAAGGTGAGATTCATTTTTGTTCAAGACACGATAACCATCTTGACAACAATATCTGTGGCTGTTAGTTGCTGTTGAATCAACCCCTGATGTTGTGTGACCCTGCCATCATCACACTCAGTGGCATTGCTGTGGCCATTGTGCAGTTAACCTTCCAACCTAAGGAACTCCTTTTCCAGCACTGTATCAGATCATATTCTATTGTGATCTAAAAGTTTTTCATTGGCTAATTCCTGGAAGTAGATTGCCAGACCTTTCTTCCTAGTTTGTCTTAGTCCAGGAGCTCAGATGAAACTTTCTCACCATAGGTAACCCTGCTGGTATTTTAAATCCTGGTGGCACAGCTTTCGGTATCACAGCAACATGCAAGCTACCAGAGTGTGACACATGGATAGATGAGTGGTAGACAGCTATCTTTAGTACTTAGGTACTTAGGATGGTGGATTTGGTCTACCCTGGGTACTCAGTTATTTAGACAAGAAAGGTAAAATTATTTCCTGAGTAGACTATTTTTTAAGTGCCCAGGCTGTACATCTCATTGCTTTTTAAAGTACATTTTCTCCCTCCAAGTCATGTTGACTCAATCCTGCCGTACATCTTAAGTTAATCCCCTTCTTTATTTCCTTGGCCTATAGCTCTGGTAGTATAGGTGGTTACAAGTTGGGCTGCTAACCTCAAGGTCAGCAGTTCAAAATAACCAGCCATTCCACTGGAGAAAGATGAGATTCTCTGCTCCAGTGAAGATTTACAGCATTGGAAACCCTATGCAAGGTCGCTATGAGTCCGAGCTGACTCCACGGCACATAACCACCAACCATAGTTCTGCTAGAATCTTATTATTCACTTTCTAGAAGTTTCCAGTAGACACTGTGATCACCATGGAAGTGTTCTGCTAGAACCTACAGTGAGGAGTAGTCAGTTGACACCCCAGCCTAGAGTGTGGTTGTTGCTCCTGAACCATGTGGGGTTGTCAGAGCTGCAGGCTGGGGGTCTCTGCCTGTCCTCCTTTCTCCCGTCTCCTTTCATCTCCTGTCATGGATGTTAGATTCATATCGTGGTCTGCATTCTTCTTTTGCTTTCATTTCTTCCCCTTTTTTGCCCTTCACAGGTATTTCTCCCAAATACATCGCCGCATTTTTCCTTCTGTTTTGGTGTCATCTTTTAGAAGATTCTGAGACAGTTCAGACTCTGACTGACCCTCTCCATGCACCGTACACACCTGCTTCATCACTCTTCCTAATGGGGTCTGCACAGGGCCACCTTTATCCCTAGCCTCAGGAGCACACTCTGCTGCCTGAGAATTCAGTTGAATCGGTTCAATCTGCCTTCCCAGACCCCTCAGGACTGGCCCAGCATGGCTTGCCTCAGCTGGACCCGATGGAGTGTCTACCACCCATGGCCCACTTTCCACTCACATTCCACTTCCCATGAGAACCCAGACATGACCTTCCCTAGCAGGTAACAGGCCCTCCTCCTTCTTTGAAGCATAACGCCATAGGATGTTGTTGTTGTTGTTGTTATGTGCCGTGGAGTCGGAACCGACTCATAGCGACCCTGTACAGGGTTTC